AGGGAGACTGACCTGGGAAGAAGGGATTTGGGGTTTTGGGGGGGGGGGTGTCACATGTTCATCAAGAATCCTGCAGCCCAACAAGGACCCCAGGCCCAGTGGTCCAGAAACCACCATTCCTGGGGAGAGAAATCAAAGACCAAAGAGCTCTCCCGAAAGTTCTAGAAACGTCCTATGACCTGGAGTCTGGAAGAAAACCTGTTACATGGAGACTGAATTTCTTGCTAAAGTCCAGATAAAATGATGAGGCTTTTGGAAGAATGGATATTGTGTTCTCTTACCCTCCTGTGGTAATTACATCATCTGTTGTCAATTTGAGACTTAAGAGTGAAGGGGTGGAGTTTAGTCTGTCAATCAGGTCACAGCTTGTTACCTCATTTGGCAGTGCTAAGGAGATAAATAGCTCGTTGGAGGTGGGACACACATGCTGACTCCCTGTGAGACATTCCTGTGGAGAACACACATGGATCTACACTAGAGCCTGTTGCTGAAGGAGGCACCGCTGTCCACTTGAAGATAACTTCAAGATGGGACTAGAAACCCAGTCTTAAAACTAGGGTCGCAATCCCAAGTGATCTCAATAGCCAGGTGATGTCAGCAGGATAGGCGAGTGGGAACTGGGGTCACCTGGAGGGTGACGGGATGCGCTGACCACCTGGCCCAGGCAGAGCCCCAGCAGACAATGCAGGCACCCGTCAGCGGGCTCCCTAAAGTCTGTGGAGTCAGAAGTGTGGATGGGCTGTGGGCGAGGAGGCCCTCACCACAGGGCAGAGGATAGAAGGAGGGTGTCCATGCTATCCAGGGCAGGGGTAGTGCCCCTGGGTAGCCCCTGAGCAGCCAGGCCCCCCCTCCCCCTCCCAAGAACAGTACAGAGGACCTTCCACTCTCCCTGGAAGTAGTGGCTCCGCTGGGAACCCAGGGTGTCTTAGCTCCGCGAGCGTCTCTACTCGCCTCCCCTCCTTGACTGCTACTGTCCACGTCTGCATGCCAAGCCTCCCCACCTCTTTCGTGTTCCTTAAAGCCCACCCCTGCTCCCTCCACTTCCCCAGGCTCGGGGTCCACTCTCCTCCCTGACACCCCCGAAGCCCTCCTGGGTCACCAACCACCCACCCCATGCTAGAGGAATCTTGCCCTGCTCTCAGAAAGTCTGCTGTCTCCTCCACACGTCTCTCACAACACTGTCACGTTCCACCTGGAGCAGGGTTAACTATGGCACTGGCTTGGTTCCCTCGGGGCTCTGAGGGGCAGATTTCACCACTGGCAGGTAGAAGCTAGGGTTCTGTCTTGCTGCCTAAGTTCTGACCACTACTATCCCTAAGACAGCCCAGGACTGGCACCATAGCTAAGGGCATGAGCACATCCCAACAATTCCCTGAGGTCAGTATCCATGCCCACATCACAATGGGGAAGCAGGTTCGCTGGGGCAGAGGCCGCATGGCCAATACAGAGCCCAGTTGGGGTCTGATTCCAGTCTGGTCTTTCCAACTACTTTCTCCCCGCCTCCTGCAGCTGTGCCCTAAGTCCAACAGGCCCCCGGGGCAACCTCCTTTTCCAACCAGCCAGACTCAGTCCCTTGGCCTCGGGGAAAATCAATCACGTCGCTGAAACGTCTTCGCAAAACATTTCATTATTGGAACTTTGAAAACGTCCACTCTTTCCAAGGGCAAAGAGGATGGGAGAAAGAACCCCCTGTCCTTGTCAGACCCCTTCAGAAGCAATGGACTCACAGTAGCCTCCTCTCCCCGGCACCCCTGCGGCTTCTTGCCACCCCCAACAGCATTGCTTTGGACAAATCCCTGACGCCGTTCAGAAGGATGGTCCCTTCTGCTAAGACCCCTGGCATCACTTAATAGGACTATTGGCTTCTGGCGGCATGGGACTAAAGCCCAGAGGCCCTGCCCATCCCTCTCCAACAGCCAATTCTGACTGGACCCAGCTAATCCCCCAGTGCAGGGGTTTGAACTTGTCAGCTGCTGGCGGATGGGGGAGAGGGGCCTGGCGGGAGGTCTCCACAAAGGGAGCTTCCAGGAACCAACCTGGATTCAATGGGCCAGGTCACGGCTGCCTCGGCTCTGGCTTGCCCTCATGCCTTGTTGCAGGAATCCTGCCCCAGTGCTCCCTCCTCCAGGTCTCCTTAGGTAGAGAAAGGAGCCTGATTGGGGTAGGTGGGAGGGGGATGCCAAGGTGGGCCCTCTGGTGAGTGGGATGGGTGGACACCTCGGCTCTGTCCTCAGTCGGGCTTGAATTCCAATCTCAGCTCTGCTAGCTGTGGGGTTTTAGGTAAATGATGCTCTTTGGGTTTTTTGGTGTTTTTTTTTATTTTGTGTGTGGTTTTATTTGGCTATGTGTTTTTGTGGCCAATGACCAGGTGGTCTCACAGGGTTGTTTTGAGACTTGGAAGAGGCCCTGGTGGCACAGTGGTTGAGTGCTCTAAAGGGACAGCAGTTTAAACCCACTCGCTGCTCCTCAGGAGAGATGGCAGCCTCAGAAGCCATTTGGGGCAGCTCCACCCTGCCCTGCAGTGACTCCGTGGTACTGTGTCTCCAGGACTTGGCACACAGTGTGTCTTCAGTTGGGATTTCAATCCAGGGACATGGGGCACTTGGACAGTCCCACGTGCCCTCCCGTGTCATTCATCCCCAAGCACAGGGTCCTTCCTTGAAGAAGGGGCCAGTGCGCCAAAGACTAATGAAGGTGCTGGGGTGGGGGTGGGGGGCCTCAGAAGCCACTGACTTGAGTTCAAGTCCAGCCTCTTCCTCATCCTAGCTACGTGACCTCGGAGAGAGGCCCACCTGGCTTCCACCAACCAAGCAGGAGCCTCCTGAGGACCAGCCTTCCAGGTCTGGGAGCAGGATTAGAATGCCAGAGTAGAAGAGTGCCCGCCCTGTGCTCGAGACCATAAATAAGAGCTCTTTTGCATTTCTTCCTTGGATCCAGGTTGGAGATAAGCTTCGCTCCTCCCAGGGAGTGCCTGGAAGTCTTCCCAAGCCCGGAGCAGGAGGCCCTGATGCTGCCACCTCAGGTTGGAGGGAGCCTGGCAGGGCCCAAGGCAGAGCTGCCCACCCCCCCTCGGCTGGCAGAAGGTGTGCCCAGTATAGAGGACTAGCCAAGTTGCCCTTGGAATGAGAGAGCTCAGGAACCCAGGTCTGGCTGGCAGCTGAGAGGTGGGGGTGATGAGGGCCATCAGGGAGCCCAGCATCCTTGGCTGGTGCCCCAGCTCCTGTGTCTGAGGATCCTGACTGAATTCCAGACCCAGCAGATAGCAGGGGTAGGGTTTCTGGTGAGTGGGGTGTGGGGGTAAGAGGGCATCAGAGCAGCCCTGGCAAGCGTCTGGAGAAAGCAGGGGCACCAGAGAGAGGTCTCACAAAGTCACCCTACCAGGTGGACCCCTGACATTTACTGTGCATATCCTATGGGCCAGGCTCTGGGCTAAAGGCCAGGCATGTGATCAGTTCACTCAGCCACCACACAGCAGCCCTGAGGCAGGTCCAACGCCCACCTCCCAGTTTACAGATGAAGAAACTGAGGCACAGGAAGGTTGAGTAACCTGTCTCGGGTCACAGAGCACGTGGCGGAGCCAGGATTCACATGGAAACCTGGCAGCACAGAACCCTCACCTTTTGCCATGAGTCCCTGGGGGCAGTTTTTAATATTTTTGTGGTTGGTGTTTTTCCTATTGGGGTTTGTCTCTGTGGTCTTTTGTCACTGTGGGTAGCCTTCCTGAATTTTGCTATGTGTCTTTTTATGTTTTGCCATAACTGCAACCCAGGCTGATGAACCTATAAAGATGACTAGGATAAAGGTTCTTGGTGGGTATGGGGTGGGGGGCAGGTGGGGTCTAAGGGGAAGCTGATATCAAGGGGTTGGAGAAGGAAGAGAATGTTTTGAAATGGATGGTGGTAGCAATGGTACAATACTGCTGGATGTGATTGAATTATGGAATGGTGTGATGTCTGGATTAGTTCCCAATAAAATGGTTTGGAAGACTGGAAAAAAAAGTTCAACTCTGAGCCCAGAGGCTGTCCGCTTGAACCCACAGACAACCCTCAAGAGCCCTGGTGGTATGACGGGTGACACAGCCGGCTGCTAACCAGGAGGACTGAAATTCAACATCGATTCAGGGGCAGTGAGTTGAGGGTTTGGACGAGAGACACCTGGGTAGACAAGACTAGTGATTGACTCCACCCGCCCACAGGCGGCACCATGAGCAGGAATCTACAGCGACTACCAACAGCAGTTAGGATGAAGAAACGCATGTTATTGGGTGCTGTCCAGTCGATTCCAACCCACAGCGACCCGGCACACAGCACAACAGAGTCTGAAGCCCACAAAAATCATCAATCCCAGCTCATGGCGCAGGCCGCACCTAAGGGAAGCGGTTCCAGCTTTCGCTTCCAAAACTCACTGCCATCTAGGCGACTCACAGCGACCCTCTGGGGCAGAGTATAAACGCCCCCTTTATGGGTTCCTGAGCCTACAACTCCTGAAGAGAGTAGAAACAGGAGTAGAGAGCCTCCCTTTTCTCCCAGAGATGCAGGTGGTTTCGAACGGCTGACCATGTGTGGTTAGCGTCCGCCACATAACTCACGACGCCACCAGGGCTCCTTAGCTATCCCATGAGCGGCGAGTTCATTATGCACTGGACCAAACAGAGCGGACTAATTTTCAAGGTGGTCATTTTGCAGACCCTTGGCGGGAAAAACAAAAGGTTCACCACCCCTGTGCTGGAGGAAGCTGTCCTCTGTGGAGGCCCCCGTGTGTGGCAGAGCTGCGGGCTGCAGGAGGTACTGCATGCCCACAATTGCCTGGGCAAGGAGACCCACATCAGACTAGCTCTGAGCTCTGAACCTGGGGTCTGCTGCCCAGATGCCTGGAGAACACAGCTTCCGGGCGGCACACTGCTCGCTCGCTCTACACTTTGAGAGGCTTTGAGTAGGCTTTTCTGGGAAGGCAGAAAAAACAGCCCTTCACCCCAACAAATGTGGCCGATAAGAAACTACCTGAATCGTCTGGCAGGGGCCGAACGTTTCTGCGACTTCACCGGCTGGATTCGCGGAATTGGGCGCCGGGAGCGGGGAGGAAAGAAAAACGCCCAGAGATGGTGCAGGCGTGCAACTTCTCTCGCTCTCCAGGCTGGCAGCTAAGCGTTGGCAAACGCTTTCTTGGGATGCTCCAGAGGCTTCTGCCAGTTCAACGTACAGGGCAGCAGATGGCACACACTTCTCCGCGGTTGATAGTTTGATTTATCGATCTCTCACAGATGGCACGAGGCCTGGATTTCTGGCAGGAGTCCAAAGCGCGGGGCCGCGTTCCGGGTGGGGGATAATCGGTCCGACCAAAGACGCGGACCCGCCTGGCATCACGGCGACGGCACGTGGGGCACGGTGGGCGGGTGTCAAAGGGAAGGGATTGGCCCCAGAGAAGTGGAGATCTGGCAGAGCCTCGGAGGGGGAACATCGGAGTGGCTACGTGCGAGAGCTTGGTACTCAGCGTCCCGGGCGGCCTCGCGCTGCAGCTCTGCCTCGGAGAAGCTCTGTGAACCAGGGTCCGAGGCCGAGCTTCTTGGGGCCTCAGTTTCCCCAAAATGGGGGTACGACTGCCCTCTCCACACAGACAGTGTGACGCGAACAGCTGTCGGGTCCGCCAGAGGCGCGGCGGCTCCTTCTCCAGAGAGAGGCCTTGCCAGGAAGTAGCTGCCTGGCCCCGCACGAGTTCCCAGCAGCCCTTGCGCCCGTGAGGTCACGTGGCCGGGCCGGGCCTATCAGCTGCGTGCGCGCGCTCGCGAGGCGTGGCACGTTTCCTTGCGGGGATTCTGACGAAGAGGGTGGCTTTCTCGGTTCTCTTGGCCTTAAGGGCCAGCACCTGGCCGGGGTCTAGCCGAGACGGCGCTGCGTGGGGCGGAGCCGCCACCTGCGACCCGGGCAGGAAACCGACTGAGACGCTGCTCCTCCACTGAGCGCTGGGGATCCATTGATCGATCGCAGCTGCTAGTGCTGCCCCGGACAAGGGCTAGTTGGGAAGCCAATCGGAAAATACACGTGAGGCCTATTATCATCATCATCACCATCACCATCACCATCATCTTTTAAGGGAGCTTGATAGGTAAATGAATATTGTCGGGGATTTTTAATGCCATCCCATATGGTGGATTTGGCTAAAGCAAGACTTTTCCCAGTACTTTTCACCTTCTTGCACCCCTGATTTATCAAGAAACTTCCATGCTCTGCCCTCTATCGCTCCCCAAATCCGTGTTTTGGAAGCGACACCAAAAGGCAGAGGAGGCTACTACCCGGGGACCAGAACTAGGGGTGCCCGGCTACCACTAACCGACCACTCTGAGCAGGACCGCAGCAGGAGGTACTGCACACAATGGGAGAAAAATATTGAACAAAATTCAAAATCATAAAGTGCCAGACTTCCTGATCTGCTAGAGACTGGCAGAACCCCCAAGGCTGTGACCTTCAGATACCCCACCCAGGACCACCTGGAAGCCCAACAGCAGACAGGCTTGTAAAGTGAACAATGAGACTCAAGAGGAACATCTTCACCAGGACAATCAATGGCAGGAGACCAAAAGGACAGTGTTTGCCCAAAAAACCAAGCTCGGAAGGCAAGAAGGAAGAAGGAATAAAGGAAATGTGAAGCCAGGGGAGAAATGGGAGGGCGCTGTTAGGTTTAGGGGATCACAACTGAAGTCACAAAACAAAACACGGGTAAATTGTTGAATGGAAAACTCCTGGGCTCTGTAAACTTTCACCCAGACCATGACCAAACAAATAAATAAATAAGGAGTTGGGGAGGAGGGGCTCTTGGGTGATTTCCAAGGGCATCTGGAAGCTGATGTAGTGAGATTAGGGCTCTTGGTTACCTTGTCCCCAGTCTCCTCTGCTAGAGATGAGATGAGGGATTGGGACCATGGAGCCCACCACCCTTACTTCCTAGAGGGGCAAACCAAGGCCCAGAGGTTTGGGTTAAAAATTCATCATGAGTCAAATAATAAAGTGACCCTGCGGCCTGAGTCCAGAGCCTTCTAATCTAGAAGCTATGAGAGGTCACACAGCCCAGCATGCCTGACTATCCCAAATACAAAGAGCTGCCTGTGATGGACTGGGTTGAGTCCATCCCACCACCACCCCACCCCCTCTCAAAGCCAGATACCTTTAGAAGCCCTCACCTCTGTGAAGGTGAACTTGTTCGGAAACAGGGTTTCCTCTTCGAAGATGTTACCAGTTAAATGAACAAGATCAGACCGGGATAGGGTAGACTCTACTCTCTTCTGAATGGAGTTTATAAAAGGAGCCCAGGTGAGAAGACAGCATGACGCTGAGGGAAGAGCGACAGCATGTGAGGGTGCAGAGGGCCAGGATACCAAGAAATGTCCGGCGGCCTTCAGAAGCCGGAAGAGAGGACACGATGATGGTTCTGATACCCTGCGTTTCCACTCCCAAGCCACCTAACTGTGAGATGACACATGTCTGCGCTCTCCACAGTGTCTTATGACAGCAGGCCTAGGAAACAGACAAGGATAACTTGGGGACAATGGCTCAGGGCTCAGGGCTGCTCCACATCTCCAAATGCATGCTCGTGATTCATTCTAATCATAATGAGCACTTGAAGGAGATGCTACTATTCTTCCCGTCTTTGGAGAAGAAGTTAAGGCACCGAGAGGTTTAGCTCCTTACCCAAAGGCACAGAGAGAGAAGTGGTGGAACCAGGGTTCCAACCCTGGGGCCTCTGCCTCCGGAGCCTGGCCTTCTCACTGTGGCTGGAGGGGCACCCAGAGCTGGCAGGATCTGATTAGTCCTCGGGAGTGTAGGGACAGAGCAAAGTAGCAGGATTTCGATCCAATATGAACTCAGAACTGCCCGGCCAGGAACAAAACTTCCTCCAACATAGTATTAAACTTCCTAATGGTGAAAAGATATAAGAAAAGCCCAGGGCACACCTCCCCACCCCTAGGATGCTACCAAGACATTCTGGCAGCTGGTGAAGTGGGGGGTGGGGTCCGTTTCCCCGTGGGCTGGAGGCATACCACCATAGTTCAGGATGAATCCCTACAGGGGCATGAACCCCCCTTCCCAACTCCCTTCCAACCTCCCAGAGTACTTCCAGGAGAAAAATCTCAGGGTTTTTTTTCCCAGCCTGTCCTTCACATAGGGGCCCTGATGGCATAGTAGTTATACCCTGGGCTGCTAACCACAAGGTCAGCAGTTCGAAACAACCAGGGGCTCCTCGGGGCCTTCTATCCCGCAGAGTTACAGTTTCAGACACCCACTAGGGTAGTTCTACCTTGTCTTCTAGGGTCACTAGGAGCAGGAGTTGCCTCGATGGGCGTAAGTTTGGTTTGGGTTTGATCCTTAGGATAGATCCAGCAGAGCTTCTCGCTCATTTCAAAAAGAAGAGTCGAATCCAAAGAAAGCATCCAGGTAGAATCTGATAGCGTTGCTGTGTGACACCACACGCATATCGTGGGTGTCTGCAGTTCCTTCTTTTTGACCAATTGTGCTGGTCTTCCATGTCCAACTGTAGCATAAAGCTACCATCTAAATGCATTCGTATAAACAACCAGTGAGCCCAAATCTCACTGCCCTCAAATCCGCTCTGATTCATAGCATCCCCATGGGATGCAGCAGAACTGCCTTTGTGAATTCCCAAGACTGTAACTCTTTATAGGAGTAGAAAGCCTCCTCTTTCTCCCAAGAGTGGCTGGTGGTTTTGAACATCTGACCTTGCGATTAGCCGCCCAACCAAAGAAGAGCAAATGTATTCATAATCAAATGGGTATGTGGCCAGAAACACATTCACAAAGAGGATGTGGAAATGACTGCCGTCTGGGGAAAAGTGAGATAAATTCATTCCACAGCCCCTGGAGGTGGGGGTGCTGCAAACAGCAGGCTCACTGCTATCTGAAAGATGTTCAAATCCATCCAGAGGTAGGAAAGCCTGGCCAACTGCTTCCAAAACATCCACCATTAAAGACCTCACGAAGCCCCGTTCTCCTCTGACACCCGTGGGGTAGTCTGGAGTCCACAGCATGTGGGACCAGGAGACCCACTCCAGCCCAACAGCTTGCGGCACCACCAGGCCACACAGCAGGGGGAGCGCAGATCCCACAATGGTGCATGCAAGTGACGCTCCCTAGACCCATGCAGTGCAGAGCCTACATGGCCGTACACGGCAGCCATGGATATTTTTAGAGAAACAAAAATCCCAAACATACCAGGGAAAAGAGACACTCCTCTGGCTGGCTGCCCTGATATTGGCAGCCAGAGGTTCCTCATCCCAAATGCTCACACTCTCTGGTCTCATACTCCCAGCCCGATCCAGGAGAGGGAACCCAGGCAAGGCATCCTTTCTCAGGGGACACACACACACACACACACACACACAGAGTCCAGTGAGATTGCAAAAGTCTATCAAATGAATTGTGTACTCAGGACTAAAGGCAGCAGGCAGACAGAAAGCACTTGAAGAATACAGGATCTGCAACTGTGCTCAAATGAACGAGTTGACATTAGAGCCCAGGCCACCAGGGAAGGATCAAAATCAACTCGGCAGTGGAGGATCTGCAGGAAAGGGATCATAGTGAGTAAGGAATCTACCTCAGAACACAACCTGGCGAGGCAGCTGGGGACAGCCCAGTGGCAGGGCCTGGGCAGTAGGGTGTGTGAGTGTGGACCCTCATTGTTCTCAGAAGGGATCTAATTCTGCTACCTCTTGTTTGAAGACACCATTGGCACACTTCCCACGCCAGAACAGCAGAGTACCCTTCTACCCAGGGTCAAAAGGATGGGACCAGAGAGAATGGAGATTAGAATGTACTCCTAACATGAAAATACAAAAGCAAATCTCACGCATCCTCAAGAACTCATGGCCATTGAGGGAGAACATTCCATCCTACTTAAAACCCTGTGAATGTCAACCCACTCACTCTCCACAGGCCAGTCCAAGGCCCCTCCCTTCACACGCACACACATACACACCCACGTCTAAACACACACACACACCTACACATGT